GAATGGAGAATTATAGCCTGCCAGCAAACTGCTCACTGCACAATACATAAAATTTTGAAGACAACGATGACAACAGTAACAACAACAACAAATCAAGAAGTGAGACATTATAAATATGATTTTATTAAATTGGTTACTCAATGTGACACCGGAGCTTCCCGGGTGAATCGCGGGAAATCCAGCTTGATTTCTTACTTTTGCTTTTTTTTCGCTTTTAAAAATTTATTCATATTTCTTTTCTTCTAATTAGGGTCTTTCTAGCACGAGACTATTTATAAGTTTTACTTTTCCTTTTGTTTTGGGAAACTTTTACTATTGCTAATGTGTTTGAGACATTCTTTGTTTTATGCAATTGAACTCCCCCGATTTGCTGTCCAACAATAGATTGTACCTCATCTCCCCTTCCAAACACCGTCTACTGCCCTTATCCTCCTCCTCTTAAAAGTCCACAACTATTTCTCCATAAAAATCACTTCCTAAAAACCTTTTAGAAGCACTAAAATAGTATCACCTCGTATCAGCAACCGAAAAACTCTAAATTTTTATGAATTTATCTTTCTTGCCCCCAAATCCAAAATTCCAAAAAACAATAGAAAATATCACCACCACAGTTAAACCCTTCATACCACAAGTATTAGCCTCAACCCTAAATTTTCAAAAAACAATAATTCTACCTTCACCAAAATTTACCCCAACGCCTACCACCAAAAAACTAATCCCATGACCAATCTTCATTTGCAGTTATGCATTCACCAAAAAACTTGATCTGGTAGGGTGAAAAGGACATCATGTCGATAAAGAGGAACCCTGGATGAGGTGCTCAGAAACTTAGTATGGAGAATATGTAATGGGAAGTCCTCCAACTGCAACAGAAGTATCATCGCCTTTGAGAGGAGATGATCAGTTGAGACCACACAGCCAAAACAATGACTCAACGGATCAAGGGGAGGAAGTGAATCCCTTCCATCGGGAAATTTTCAATGGCGAACAACAAATATTCCATTGATTTGACATGAAATACCGAGGAAAAATTAGGATATTAAAGAAATGTGGATTTATCGAATTTTCACTATCGCATGAATTTGGATGAGTATATCAAGTGACTCCAAGCAAGAGAATAAACATTTTAGTAAAAAGATGTTTCACGGGGCAAAAGTGAGTTAAAGTGGAAGTTATCAAGCTCGGAAAGAATATTTGTTGTGGTGGAAGAATCTGAAGCATATTCGATAACAAGAATGGAAGAGAAAGATCACCACTTGATCTAAAATGAAAAGGGAGATGCAACACAAAGGCCTTTCATTGTATTACCAATAAGAGATGTTCATAAGTCTCCACTACTTGTTTCAAAGAGATTCTTTTGTGAAGTACACATTTAAATTTAATTAACTCATGCTGAAATGTGAGTTGGGGGAATCAAAGGAGCACACAGTAGCAATATATCTTGGAGAATCAAGGTCTTCTATGAGTAATATGGTGCAATTGCAACTGTATTGGTCCCTACTCAATATACAGGCCCTAGCTTTGAAGGCGGAAAAATAGCAACGTCACTAGGTGACCGGCACACTTTGCAGGTAGATTTCATCGGTAGGATATGCTGCAAGAGCACACCTAATGAAGGAATCCAGCTGACCACGCCCAAAAAAAAATCAGTTCATGGTGGATAAAAAGTGGAGACAACCAATACTCTCAAATCCATCTCAGCCAAAAAGTGCTTTAAGTGCTAAGATTTTAGGCACATTACATCAATTTGCCCAAAAGAAAGAATGATATCTTCCACTAAGTAGAGAGCGGTGGAAGAAAAGGCCAGTGACATAAGAGAAAAAAAAGATGTCAGATGATTTTCAGCTTCCACGTGACAATTATGAATTTTAATATTCGATTAAAATTTTGATAAATAAAGGTAGAATTATATAAACTTCTTGAAATAGTTAAAATTTACATGTTATGCATGTAATTACCTTTTTTTCCATTCTTTTTCATTGTTGGTCATATTAAACAAATAAATTCACTTGATAGTAAATACTTTAGTTTTTTTAATGAGTATAACCCTTCAATTTGTGATGGGCATCATTAAATTGAACGGAAATTTTGATTTAGGGCCAACTTGGAACAATCTTTAATAGTCTGGGACTAAATTAAAGCATTTTAAAACTTAGGGACTAAATTGACACTTCTTAATAGTCAAAAAACTATTTTGGATTTTTACACAATTTTTCTATTTTGTCGGATGTTTAGAGATTTTTGTTTTTTTATGTCCTCGGGAGTGTTGTATCATCTTCCTTTAACAAGTGGTGTGCTTATATCTTGATCAAGAAAAACTGGTGGACCCTCCTCGCCATTCTTAACCCGTTGATTTGTCTTTCGCCTGTTGTCACTAGTCCAGACAGCAACTAAACTCTCTTGATTTGTTGTCAAGTAGCAAATTTTACTCATCTCCTCTTCCAAACATCGTCAGCCGTCCCTATTCTCCCCCTTGTACTAGTCCACAGCTACCTCCCGCAAAAATCGCTTCCTACACACCTTCTATAAGCCCTAGAACGGTATCATGATGATTTTAATTGCTTCAATTTTCTATTATAATTATCATATATTAATGATAATTTCATTACTGATTAGGCTCACATAATACTGATACCTATTTCTAGTAAGAGAAAGTCAGTTGCTTGGCTCGATGATTTCAGCTCTTTTCTTTTCCTTTTTTTTTTTTTTTGCATATAACATTCTACGCATCATAATAATTGCGTTAAAAATTCTTAACATTGAGTCATCTTGCATCAGCAACTGATACGCCCATAGGTAATTTCCAATAAGAAAAAAAAAATTAAAAGAATTAAAAAAATAATACAATTTGGGAGTTTAACGTGAATATATGAGATCAACATTTGAAACATCTTATCCATAAAAGTGACAAAATAGAAAATCAAAATAAATAATGCATCCATATTTAACAAAGGGAAATAGACATTTTAAAAAGACAAAAAAGAGCGTGATGAAGTTGGAAATAGGAGAAAGGTTAAGGCAAACATCATTTTATCATGTGCATGGATGCATCTTCAGCTATTATGCATGAATTAATTCCGAGCCATACCCACAAATTGGTGAGCGAGTCATATATGAATGAGAACAAATAACCTTCTCAAATGAGATTGCACAATAGTTTAAACATTAAACACTCATTTCAGCAACTTTAAATAGCCATATACCATGTTCATACAATCAAATTTAGGAATGAATGATTTGCGCAAAAATATCAAACACGCCATCACATGAAAGGTTTAATACCTAATATATCAAAAAACAAGACAAGAAAGCAAGTATATAACTAATGAAATAGATTGTACATTGAAATGGAGCTTATGATATGTGATTGAATACTTATTACAATGGTAACGATGGGATTCATATACATTGATCCGTGTGAAGCCATATAAAATATAGAAAGGTGTTCCTAGTGCTTCAAAGCTTATTCCGATGCCCACTCTACAAGTGCTTTAGACATACAACGTTACTTCTATAGTGTAGAAAAGTTATTTCCATGATTCAAACTCATGAACTCCATATCATAATGGAGACAGCCTAATCATTGTTTCAAACCCACCCTCTAAATCATAGCAAAATTCAAACCTTGTATTGTTAAGATAAAAGCAAGAGTGTGCTAATTAGTTTTGAATTGATTCAATAAACAATTTTTTAAGATGTATATAGTGTTTAATAGCAACGAAATGCTCATAATTAGGCAAGGAATTGGATTCAATGTGCTCAACTATGGTTTCTCTATCATCACTAGTAAAATTTTAAAGTAATTGATGTCTAGAAAAAAAAATAACGGAGCACCACCGATAATAAATTCAAGCATTTCCAATGCTAATACGCCAATGTGAAGAGATTATATCCCCGCTTCAAAGCTTATGCCAATGCCCACTCTAGAAGTGTTTTAAATATACAAAGTTACTTCTACAGTGTAGAAAAGTTATTTCCATGATTGAAACTCAAGACCTCCGTATCATAATGGAGACAGCCTAATCATTTTTACAAACCCAACCTCAAAATCAGAGCAAAAATCAAGCCTTGTATTGTTAGGATAAAAGAAAGAGTTTGCTAATTAGTATTGAATTGATCCAACAGGCAATTTTTTAAGATGTATATAATGTTTAATAGCAAAAAATGCTCCTTTTTAAGAAAGGAATTGGATTCAATGTGCTCAACTGTGGTTTCTCTATAATCTCTAGTAAAATTGCAAGGCTACTTGATGTCTACAGAATAAAATAATCAGGTACCAACCATAATAAATTCAAGCAATTCCAATGCTAATAAGCTGATGTGAAGAGACAATTATCCCCCGCAATTTTTTTTTTCTTAAAGGAAGAACCTTTACAAACCCAACCCACCACCCCCGCCCCCCACATGAGTCTACTTAAATAAAACATTGTGATGGAAACCATGAAAATAACGCAGTAACTTTATTCAATTACTAACATTGATCTAATAATTATTGAGAAATACAATTTTTTACTAACCTTGATCTAATAATTATTGAGAAAAACAATTTTTTCCTTTCATCCATAAAGCCACTTCAAGAAAATAGAGTTAGCACTTCTTGAAGATAACGATGGCAACAGTAAAAACAACAATAACCAATCAAATCGCACAACCAGAAAAGGGAAAAACATTTCCCTGCTCTTCCTAAGCGATGTCCATATAACATCAACTCCAAAAACTTGCTCCTCAACAAAACCTAATCACCCATAGCTAAGCCATGCTCAAGGATTTCTAAACGCTCCATCTATTCTAGATCCTACGAAATTTTCTATGAGTGTTGCCAGGGATCTTTCCCAGCTAAATTCACAAACTGAAAAAAAAAAAAAAAAAAAAATTACTTTTCCTAGTTCCTAGATACTTGCCAAGTTCCGCCATTTCTCCACGAAACAGTGAGAAATGTATCCAATAAGACAAGATTAATCGAGAAAAAACGGAAAGACTGTAAGTGGATGCGATAATACCTTAAGCACCCCAAAAAAAACAACTTCCAAGGTCGAGATCGAGATCAACGTTGATGCCAAAATGGTGGATGATCGCCGGGGGCAATTAGCTATACGATTCGAGGTTTTGGCTTTCTGCACTGTCCCCTTTCTGTAGCTCGATTAGGTCTTCTCTTAAAAACATAAAACCAAAAGAAAGTCGGTCAGGTATTCAACATTTCAACTTGTCGTGGCCTCCACGCGCAATGAAAATGAACCACTTTTGGTTAGATATTGTGGTAAATTTTAAATGGGTTTTTCATGTATACTTGTGTATTTAAATATTCAATTGTTCAATTTTTTTATTTATTTTTAGATATATGAATAATACTATAAATGACCAAAAAATAATAAAAATATTAATGAAACTTTTACATAAATTTAATACTTACTATAACATATTGTTATATATATATATATATATATATATATATATATATA